AATTTCCAACAAATAATGCATAACATCAACTAATCAACAATTTAAATTCCTCAATCTAATCATAACAGCAACCCAGAAGAGTGAAGGCAGAAATTTTCAACAAAAATAGAGAAGAATTTCAGCTTATAACTATCACTCCCACAACACCCTTAGCTGAAAAGGGAGGGAAGGATGAATATCACACACACACACACACGTGATGCCAATCAGTTGAGGAGGAAGAACAGATAGAAACTAAACACAGCACATCGTCAGCCACCAAGCAGCAACAACAACGAACAGCAAATCAGAGAGAAAATCCGACGATAAAAATTCTTCGAGCTACAGAAACGCAACAGCAACAGAAGAAGTTGAAGACCACTCACCTCACGTTTGTACCGATCTGAAGGCGATGGTAGGGGAAGAGAATAAAGCAACCCAGAACCACAATAGCTGACGAACGTAAACGGAGAGAAGAACGGAGGAAAATCCAACAGCAATGAAGGCACAGATTGACAACAACCAAAGGAAAGCAACAAGAAAAGCCAAAGGAATTGACCGATGATAAAGAACCAAAGGAAAGTAATGGCATTGAGGAAAAAAATGAAAGGAATGCTCTGTTTTTATTTCACACGCAGAGTTAAAATTTGATTCAAGAAGTTTATGGAAAAATTATAAGAAAGAGCATGAGAAATCACAAAAAAAATCACAAAAATATTATCAAAAAAGTACAAAATTTTCTATAATTTAAAACCAAATTTTTGTTAAGAAAAATTTAAACTTTGGATCCTCAAAAAAGTTTTTTGTATAAGTTCCTCTAAACTATCAATTTCTACTTACTATAAAATTTATTTAACTAAAATATCTATTGGAAGAAAATTCTGTGCAATTTAAAATTGAGAGTCATTACATAGTGGAACGGTTGAGAAAGTTGGAGGGAACAATGAGAAGAAGAAGCGTGTAGAGATACATGAGGAAGTGTAAGGGCACGAAGATGATAAGCACTATGAGGAGAGTGCACCAAAGATGCTAGCACGTATAATGAGGCCAATTGAGAACAAGCATGAGGGCTCCATTAATTATGCACTTAAGAGATTCACGAGACTAAATCCTCCTCACTTTAACGGTTACATGGAGGATAGGGTTTGGGAGAAATGGATTGACTGGTTGGAGACTATCTTCTCGATGATAACATGCACAACAGAGCAACAGATTTTCTTAGCCACTTTTATGTTAGAGGATGTTGCCAAACAATGGTAGGAGGGTGTGAAGTTAGCTGATGGCTCTTTATTCACGTGGAAGGAGTTTAAAAGAAGATTCTTTGCTTACTACTTCCCATCTATTTTCTGGGCAAAGAAGGAATCTGAGTTCCACCTACTTTAGCAAGGCAATATAAACTAGAAGGAGTCCATTGCCAAGTTTAATGAGCTATCAAAGTATTTCACTTATTTGAGGCATTATGACGATAAAGAGTGGAAGGCCAAATAATTCTTAAACAAGATGCAGCTTGCATATAGCAGGTAGTTGGCAACCTTTGAGATTACCTCTTTTGAGGTGATGTGTAATAAGTTTAGAGCCATTGCTAGAAGAGATCGAGTAGTTGATGATAAGAAGTGAGATAGCTAGGGTTGTTTCTCTTCATATATGGGTCCTACCAGTGGTGTGAGTAAGAAGATCGATTTCAATTCTGAATCATCTTGAGGGTTTAGTGCCAAGGGTGCTAAGAAGCATTTTCAAAAGGAATTTCAATCCAAAGGATCCCAGTCCAAGGGCAATGCACTTAGGAATAGGGGAGGTCAAAACTAGATTTCAAGGTAGGACTCCACACTTACTATTGCTGGACTTATGAGATCACCATAGTATAACAAGTATGAGAAATACCATAATAGGAGTGCTGGACATGCTTCATATGCCACAAGACTTGCCACATAATGCAACATTGCATAGAGAATGCTAGTGCACTTGACCAAAGGTCTGCCATTCCTGGTCGTGTTTTCACTATGTCTAAAGAAGAAGTTGAAGCTTCGCCAAAGCTCATTAAAGGTACTATTTCTCTTTGTGGTACTAAAATTATTGCTTCATTTGATTCTGGTGCCACTCACTCTTTTATATTTGATGAGTGTGTGGAAAAGTTGAAACTGCTTGTGATTGAGATGCCTGTTTTGATGAATATATCTATACCGATTGGTGTATTTGTGAAAACTAATTGTACATGTCTGAAAGTTGAGTTGAAATTTAGGGATAAGATTACATTAGTTGATTTGATTTTTTTGCCCATATTAGGAATTGATGTAATTATTCGGATAGATTGGTTGTCATTAATGGAGTGACACTAGACTATGATAAGAAGATAGTTTTCTTGCTAATGTATACTACAACTCCTATAATTCCTGAAGACACTGTTTTAGTAATAAACCTTAATATGCCAAAACTTCTATTTGCTCTTCAAGTGAAGAAGTCAAACCGTGAAAGGTGTCAGATGTTTTAGTGTTTTCTTTAATGCATGGGATTTATGATGGTGCTTTGGATAAGATTAGGGTTGTGAATGAATTTCCTGAGGTATTTATTGATGAGATGTCAGGATTACCACCAGAAAGAGAGATTGAGTTTTCAATTAACCTAATACCTGATATTGAGCATATCTAGAAAGAGAGATTGAGTTTTCAATTAACCTAGTACCCGATATTGAGCATATCTCTAAGGCTCCATACTGCATGGCTCCATCTAAACTAGATGAGTTAAAGAAGCGATTAGAAAAATTGTTAGAAAAAGAGTTCATTAGACTAAGTATATCACTGTGGGGTTTGCCAGTGCTATTTGTGAAAAAGAAAGATAGAAGTATGAGGCTGTGTATAGATTACCATTAAAAATTGCCTCAGTTGCTGTCAAGTGATAGTATATTTTTGCTGTCAAAAAGAGTACAATGTGTTGCGGCGTATGGCACAAAGGCTCATGAGTTGGGGCACAGGCCTCATTTTCTTGACTATTTCACTCTTTTCTAATTTTAAGTAAATGCACTGATTCTTTTTGTGATCCCATGCTTCCACATATAAAAATGGAGTCTGATATTCAGTTTGTAAAGATCTTTTGGGGATGTTTTAAATATTAAAAACTTAGGGTCCTATTTGTTTAAATTTTAGAAACTTGTCATTCTTACTTTGAGATAATCTCTTAATTACTTGAGGTTTGGAGTTAATCGGTGAATAGTGAAGGAGATTTTATAGAAAAGAGGAAGGACAGAAGGGTGAGGGTATCGATTCTCTTTTGAGATGCATGAACTGTTTTCAAATCAACTTAACCCATTTTCACAGGTTAATGATGAATTATCTCATCTTGCTAATAGGTTGTGAGTAATGATTATTGTTGAGGCATCATATTGTACTCCTTTCTTTGTAATTCTTGTATCATTAGAAGCATTAGCACATTCCATGCTGAAAGTTGGATGTCATGTTTTAGATTCCTAAGCTTGCTTCAGCTACTAAATACTTTTTCAAAATGGGGGTGGAGGGGAAAAGATTTCGTCCCACAGCGTTGATGCTCATAAAGTAGTGATACAACTTCTCTCAATTCCCATGTTAGTGACTGTAATCATAAAATCAAGATTATTTTTATATCTACTTAAATACAAATAAAAAAATGAAAGGACAAAAATGCCCTTAAAAACCCTCTTCCCTCATTTCTTCTTCTTGTCATTCTCCTTGTTCACCCTCCCCCTTCATCAAGGGTAACTCCCCTATTTTTGGGTAGAATGGAGAGTAAGATCCTTTCGAGTCTATTTACTCATATAGGGGTGCATGGTGGTATACCTTCCCTAAACCTTCCTAATGGTTGACTTGAGGATCGATCTCACAACCTTTCCTACTCAATGAAGAAGTGGGTATCATTAGCATCACTAAGTTACGTTGAGGGAGTTACCCTTGATGAAAGGGGAGGGCAAACACTCCCTTTACTCTCTAGTTTCTTCCTCCAACATTGGCAATAACCTATCATCGTTGTCATTCCCTCCTCCTTCCTCAACCCTACTTCTCCAAAGATCAAGCAAAAAGGGGAAGACACAGAATGATTCATCTTACAACCATCCTTATTGGATCAACTTCCTTATCACCATTGAAATAGCCATAAAGGTTCCAAATAAAAAAAAATGGTAGCAATGAAGAAAACAAATGTGAAGAAACCCTAAAAACATCAATTTTATTCAATGGAGATGAATACCATGAAGAAGATGGTAGAGAAGGATGAAGATGAGTGATTCTAGAGAGGATGTATTAAATTAGAGGGTAAATATGACATTTTAAAATATTGTATTGTGGATTCATAGAGTGAAAGCTATGATTATGGATTACCAAATTTATGGCAATATTCATTACGATGGTAAACACCATCACCGTATCAAAGAGCAACCAAACACATTGATTGGTAATGTAAGCTGAGTCATCATTCTCAGGTCTTGCAATTAAACTAAATGGTCCCTAATGGTTGTGAAGATATAGTGTAGTTTTATTCCGTGTGTATTTCCCCGATTTTTTAACAGACAAAGGTTTTAATAAGTCATAAAATTATAATAATTAACTATTTTGATTTAATGAAAGGTTATAGAAATATTTATAAGTTATTGATTATTGATGAATACTATTTTTATATCAATAGCATGCGAGGATTTGAATCCATTTTTTTATTAGTATAAGTTGTATGCTTATTAAATATATATTTTTTATTTACAATACCTAATTATTTTTTGCTACAAGACCTAATATTTTAAACTAAAATGACTTTCATTAACCAACACACACAATTGAATATGACAACTTTTTTAAAAAGTACTATCTCAGACTCTCAGTAGAAAATTAAATGTAAACAGAAATATATACTTTTAAAATAATAAATTCATCCATCCATATAATTACAATTACAATAAAATTTAAATCATTTTAGTTTACTTTTCTATAAAACTAGAGTGAGGTCAACAAATTTGGTTGCTTGGTATATGAACTAATGTTTGAGCTGAAAATCGGATAATCTATTCCCTATTGGAATAATAATAACCCTGATAGGGTAATCCGCAGAACGCTAAACCCCTTGGAGCTGCTCGCCCGCAAGGGAAATTTCATCTGTGCTCTGGTGCTTTCGACGGAGGCAACTCAACGGCCATCGTCCACGGTGGCTGCCGATCTCTCCGGCGCGTTCTCCAGGTAAGAGTCAACTGTCTGCTTTTCTTTGTCTTTAAAATCAAATGTTTTGGAGGATGATGCATGATCCGATACATCCAGTCCCTGCACATTTGGAGGATTTCGATTTTCGGTGAAAGTGTTCGAATTTTCTGGGCGTGGTTTTGTCTTTTAGCCAGTGAAGATTGTGACTTATGATTATGAGTGACTAACTAGGGTATTTGTATCTAAGGATCTAGTTACATTATCATTTGCGGTGCCCCCCTCCTTTTTGGGTTGAATTGTAACATGAGGTTTTCGCGGCATTATGTGATTGGAATTGGATCATGTGCCTGAGCTGGATTCCATCACTTCAGGATGTTTTGGGGTTTCTTATTGGGTGTTCTTTTCCCTTTTCCATTTTATAATTTGTAGTCTATCAAGTTCTGTAATTTTAAGGTTTAATTTCCTGATCTACTCTGGATTCTAATAAACTATCTGTTAACTCAAGACTAAATGATATGTATTGATGTTCTGTTTTCTGGTCCTTTCAGGTGTTTGCTTGCTGGAATAAGAGTTCCCAATGTATGCTTTAGTGGTCTGATTTGACATTTTGAGACAGATAACAATCCTACTAGCTTAGAATGAGCTTGCTATTAAGATTAAGGAGTCATATACCCAATGGGTCATATAGACAATCTCTGGGGTTGACTGTAATAGGGCTTAATCTGAGTAATTTGAATGTCCCTTCGAGATATTTTGGTCAAGCTGCAAGGAAAGAGGAAGAGGATGTAGAGGAAGTGGAAATTGACCAAAGAAGGCTCCCAGCTGACTTTGATCCTGCAACATTTGATCCTGCCGAGCATCAAAGTCCTCCATCAGATAGAGTTTTCAGGCTTGTCGATGAATTGGCATCTCTAACACTAGCTGAATCCGCAGAATTGGGCCCCATTCTGATGAAGAAAATGGGACTGAAGGAGATGCCTACTGTGGGATATATGAAACCTGGAGCTGCTGCTAATTTGGCTGGAATGGCAATGAAAGCACCTACTGCAGCCAAAGAGGAGAAGAAGCAAGAGAAGACAGTATTTGAGTTAAAATTGGAATCCTATGAGCCAGCATCAAAAATTAAAATCATCAAAGAAGTCAGGGGTTTTACAGCTTTGGGTTTGAAGGAAGCGAAGGATTTAGTGGAAAAAACACCATCCATTATAAAGAAAGGAGTTTCTAAGGAAGAAGGAGAACAGATAATGGAGAAAATGAAAGCTCTTGGTGCCAAGGTTGTCATGGAATGAAGGTAAACCAATGCACATTGTCTTCTTGGAGAGCTATTGAAATGTGTTTTTCATTACCCCCACATTTCCTGAAGTTTTCACAAGGATGCTATTAGTTTGACAGATTTAACCAGTGGCTGCTTCTTTGTTTGTGCTCATTTATGAATTTGAGCTGGAATTTGATAGTTCAGCCATTCGAGAATATAATTCATTAGAACAAGATTTCGGAAAGCTCTTTCTAATGAAAACATATCACGTTGACATTTTTACATCTCACCATAACATTATTGATGACTTATGGAGATCCTTCAAACACCTCAGAATTACGCTTTTGAGTTTTATCCTCTCCATGACCTTTCTGATGAAACATGCAATTACTCTGACTACTCATTAATCATTATGTAATAGAATAGATACAGCCCAGTGATACTACCTTTTATGGGGTAAAATATTGTTTGTTTGGGCACATATTGTTTTATTTGGATGGTTGGCTGGTTTCAGATGTGTTTGTGTCTGCCATCTGTCTGAACCGTTATGGGATCCTGATTGTCTCTGGCTAGAATTTATAGCCCGCAACAGTACTGTGTTTCAAACTTTCTCAGCATAATAACACTGTTGCAGACTCTGAACTTTCATTGACCAACGAATTTGAATTTGAAATGGCAGTAATAACTCGGGAGGTGAATCATAATTAAGATATCAAAATAATCAATACTTCACTAGGTAATTTGGTTAAAATTGGTGGGCAAATAAAAGGTGTCTTTTTTTCTTTTTTGTTACTTTTTTGTTAAGTACAAAGAGTAGGTTCTCTCAACAAAAATATACATAATGGGTAGATTTTTCTCAATTAAATTGTTATATATATATATATATATATATATATTAGGTTGGAGTTTAAACTCTCGCCAAATATATATATATGAACCACACTCTCAGCGCAATGAACTTCATCGGCTTTTGCTGAATAGGCCCACTTCTTACATTCGTTTGAATCTTAGTCGCGTTGTACTCTGAATTCTTGGACACGGGGTTTGTCTTTTTGGTTGCCCATCCGATATCCAGAGCTTCGTCCTAACTAATCTGAATTCAACCCGGGTGGCACATCTAACTATGGTGGATGAGTCTCTCAATAAAAATTTTTTACATACACAACTTAAATTCGAGACTTTGCTTAAGGGTGTGTTTGATTGGGGGAGAGGGGAGGGGGCTCCTTTGGTTAGGTGGAGGGGAGCCTCTTCCCTCCAAAACCTCCCCCCCTCCCAAATTAGGGGGGAGCCCCCCTCCCTTTCCTCTCCTCCCCTCCCTTCCCTTTGAATCAAACAGACCCTTAGGTTATGTTTGGTTTGAGGGGAGAGGATGGAGGAGAGGGAAGGGTTTTTAAGATACCTTATTTGGTTTGATTAGAAGGAAGGAGAGAGGAGGGGTTTTTAATGATCCTTTGTTTGATTTAAGGTGAGAGGGGAGGGAAGGTAATAATTAAATTATCATTATACTCGTGTACAATAATATATTTTTTTAACATTTTATCACACAAATTTATTTTACATATAAACTCAAATTGTATAATTTTTTTTTAAAGTTACCCTAATCTTGTCAAATTTTTTTTTACTTCTTCACCCCAAATAAATAAATTAAATAATTTTATTAGTAAATTAATCTAAATATTAAACAATACTTTATGAAAAAAATTAATAAAACTAATGATTTTATACCCTCAATAATTGCACAAAACAATGTTAGTCCTTAATAACAATTGAGCAACAATTGTCGTCATTAATAACAAAATATATTGGGCAATAGCATCTAATATATTGATCATGCTTAAGAACCACATTTTGACATCTAGCTAATAAAATATACAAAAATTATCAATAAAAGTCATCATCTAATTAGAACTATAAAACATCCTCATTATCACATCCTTCCATACTGGTGCTGGACATTGAGTTGCTGCTCTAAGCCTATCATTATCAGTCATAAGAAACCAATATATGTCAGGTAATCTTGCAGCATCAATCCCACACTCTTCAAGCATTTTCCAAATTTCTTCACCTGACAATTGTGGTACCTTCTTGAAACTTTGTCCTATCATTACATTTCCTTATTGAATTGTCTCAGCCACAGCTAACACTGTTCCCGTCAACTCATTTAGACTAGCCTCCTCCTCCTTAGACACACTCTTTGTCTTCTTACTACATGCACTATTAATAGTGGGTGAGTGCTCTTGGTCAGGTAAGTTTTCTTGTCCCGGTGAATTTTCTTGTCCATCAAGCTCAACATTAATTGTGGCTCTATTTTGTGAGACAATATTGTTAATGTCATTGACGGTTTCAGTGACTTCTTCTTGAGAACGACGTCTCTTTCTCCACTCACGGGCTGTCTCATTCTCATCTCCATTAGCTCTATCTGTTCCATATAAGATCATCATTTTTTCATAGTTTGGAAAAGAAGTAGTTCTCCATAATGCTGCTTTAGGTTTAGCCTGAAACAAGTGAAATTACAAAAGCAATTCAATTGCAAATGCGCACTTTTTCATTTTTAAAGAATAATATAATCAATGCATATGTAAGAAATTTACCTCAATTAATGCATCCCAAACTTCAGGCTCAGCATCCCATACTTGAGTTATTGGATTCCAAGCGAACCCACTCAAATTGTTGAAAATGTCATAAACATCTGAAAAGTTTCTCTTTAAAGTCTTCCATCGATTTTTCACCTTTTCCTTGTCAATTTGTTTGCCGAATAAAGCACTCAAATATTTACATATGTTATCATAAGCTGTAGTTGTAAAAGTGCCATTAACTTTGTGACCCTCATTATATTCATTCATGAAAGCATTAACGAGGGCATCATCCATTAATCTTGTCCAGTTCACAATTTCCTTATTATTGTTTGGCGCCATCCTATCACATAATAATATAATCACATAATACCAATCTCAATATGAAAAGCTAATTAAATTTTAATGGCAAACTAAACAAATAATATAAAGCAAATAACAGTCAATAAGACAACAAATTTCAATATCTGATCAAACCTCAATTAAACTCAATATAAGTCAATGTAATAATACAACATATTTAAATGTCTATAATAATATAATAGATTCTAACTTATTGAGAAAATCAAAATTCAATGCAATATTCAATGAAGCAAAAGAAAACAATGATCCCAAACTTCAAAACAATCAAAATTCATCAGCAAAAAACAATGATCATATATAGTACGAGCAGAAAACAAGATTTATGTGACTTTACAGACCCCAAACTTAGCACTCTCCAGACAGAAGCAAAAGAACCAGCAATATTCAATGCAATATCGCATCTAAAACACCATTAAAGCTCAATTACTGAACAGCCAATAAAAAATAATTCAATGAATCAACCAATTGCACAGTCACAGCTTTCTAAATTATAATTCTTTGATATTTTCATGACTCCATCCGAACCTATTTTGTTTATAATATGTTTTGGTAAGTCGTGAGTGTAAGTTTTGCCATAGCTGTTTTTCTTTGACCAGTTATTCCTAGGACTTGATCCCAAATTCCCAATGCTCCCGCTGGTTGGTTATCTTACCGTCTGCATAATTCTTGTCTGGACACTTCAGGGAAACAGTTGTAAAATTCAATCAACATCCTTAAAATTCAATCTCTCAAATCTATACAAGCAAACAGTTGTAATTGCAAGGGGTCAATAACATCAATAATATATATATATATATATTCTCTTTCTTTCAAATAGTATTTACATTACTTGCTTTGTTAGTCTCATGACCTCTTCCATATTGGTGCCAAAACATGATTAAGATCCATGGCTAAAAACAAAAGTAATAAACCATAATGGGGCAAAACACATCAGATGTTTAGGCTCATCCAGCTGTCCTGGCCACTTTGTTTTTTGTTACTAAAATTTGGTGCTCTTGAATTAACACATAATTACGGCTTTATTACAGTACCGATCTTATAATATAGAGAGGGGGACTAACAAAGTAGTCTATGCTGCACATTTTCCACAGCCTTCAATTCAGCGTCCGAATAATTGAAGGCGTCTAACATATTTCCCATTAGGAGCCTTGAAACAAACCAATTTTCTGGTCTTATTCCTCCTGAGCTTGGAAATCTGATTAACCTGCAAACTCTGTAAGGCAACACTTTTGACTTATTTTCCCTATAATTCTCGTGTTTATTGGAATATATTTGAAGATCTAAAACTCCATTCTAATGGATTATAGTGGCATTGTTCTCATTTCAGGGTTTTGTCATCCAATAAATTTTCAGGACCCTTACCAGTATCATTTTCGCAATTAAAGAATTTGACAGATTTGTATGCTCTTGGTTACTTTTTTTCATAGCGTTCTTATAAAATAAATAATGATAGTATTTTCTGATGAATTTCATATTGTGGTGCATTGCAGTAGGATAAATGATAACAATTTCAGTGGAACAATACCTAATTTCATCCAGAATTGGGAACTACTTCAAAGACACGAAGAAAACAGAACAAAGAACAAAGCCACGCATCTGACGGGACGAAGAAAACAGAACAACCACAGATCTCAGAACACAAATCAAACAGATCGAGGAAGAACGAAGCAGAAAACCAGGACGAAGAACGATTCAAAGAAAAGATAGACCGAGCAAATGCGAGGAAGAATCTGACCTGAGAATGCACGGTGAGAGCTTCGAAGAGGAGGACCTGACGGGACGACGCACAGCGGGGCTTCGAACACGGCAGACCAGACGCACGGCGAGAGCTCCGACAGACCGAGAGCTCCGAGAAAGCGAGAAGAAGACCCATGAGGACGAGACAGACCGAGCTTCTGCAAGAAAAAGAAAGCCAGACCGAACTTATGCCAGACATACAGTGTGATTGTGTTCCAAGGGTAATATCGTAATTTTATAAAAATAATGAGAGTAAATTAGTCAACAAATTTAACTCTCCCTCCAAAAAATACCAATTTGGAGGGAGCCAAATAAGGGGAGGGATTGGCTCCCTTCCCCTCTAAAAATTTTGAACCAAATGAGAAAAATGAAGTCTCTCCCCTCCCCTCCATTTACTTCTAACCAAACAGAGCTTTAATGAAATTGAGTCACTTATCATTTAGAGTAACTTTTATTGATTAGACATGGGCTTTTGTTTTATAGTATTCTTTTGAGAATGAATTCATTCTTCACCAAAATAAAAAAGCATCATTTATCGATATTAATTCAGTAAGATTTCAATTTCATTAGCTGAAGAAACGTCATTTACACCTCATAATATGATATACTGAGGGTTGAATTCTTGCTAGGATAGGCTTGAATATAATTGTTTTTAATAGAAGAACAAATACGGAAGACTTAAAAAAGTTATATTTGTTTTATTAAAAAGCTATACTATTAATAAATTATGAGTTATGCTATTTATTTTTTCAATTATTGAATAGGATTCATAACTCCACGCCCACCCAATTATGATTTTTGTTTGTTTGTTAGTAACCCAATTGTGATTAATGCCTCATAACTATTTAAAAAGAGAGCTCAGAAGATGCAGCCATCTCTCTCTTTGCGTATGACGGACTAGAAATTAAAAAACCATTTTTGTAAACCCATCGTTTCTTCCTCTGCAAATGAACCTAATAATACAAATACATAGTTCTTGGTTTATACGTATTGTGGAAGAGGTTTTGATCTAATACTAAAAAGTTATGGCTATTTCAACCTCATGATTGACACCAATAAACTTCGATAAAATAGGCGGATAATTGGGTCTCTTAATTATGATGTTAGAGGTTCAATCTTAAGTTCTTAACCATGCGTGTAAAAAGTACACACGTTGTCGGAAAAAAGAAGAAGAAAAACTCAATTTATCTTTATACCTTGAAAGAAATTATTTATTAGCTGTTGGTTGGAAAATATTCTAAATATACAAAACAAAAAATAATAATTAAAGAATAATGATGAATAACTTATATAAGATAATATTGATTAAATGTAATTTATAAAAAGGAAATATAAATGTTAAAATTCAGTATATGTAGAGTAATTCTTTTTTATCAATATGTGTTGAGTAATTTCATCATATCTTTAGGAAGGATATGATCTCTCTATTATTATTTATTAATATCAGTACACTTTTTTACGTCCTAATAAATAATAATTAATAGTGCATTTGAATAATTTTTTTTTCCAGGAAACATGCTATATCATTTGAATATAAATATTTAAATATTAACATTAACATCGTTATTATTATTGCTCTATGTTAACCTAGATACTCGTGCATCTAATATAGGCTAACATGAGTCGCACAAAACCGGAACAAATGGTGTTGTTGCCGGAACACGACACGCGACCTTGTCACTCAAACAACAGGAAAGTTGCTTACTTTATAATCTAGTGCGGCCCGAAGCAGGCTAACGGCATACATAAGAATTTGCCGGTTCCCACTGGAAGCTTCACTTTCCTTTCCTCTCCTCTCCGACGCCTACACCGTCGATAGCATTCCGGTGGCGACTAACCAACGGGTGGGTTTCTCTTATTTTCTTTTGGGGTTACGCCCTTTTATCTCTTCACGCTTTTTCGCGCCCTTTCCCGGTATAGCACACTCTGCACTCTCTGGTTCCTCCCCCGCTGAACATTGCCGTTTTCCAGTCTTCTTCTGTGAGAATTGCCGTTAGAGCTCACCTTTCTTCTGCGGACATTGTCATCTTCTTGAGTCAGACTCTGTTTTGTGTCATGACCCAATTTTGAGATTGTAGTAGATGAATCCTGCATCCACACACCCACCCATACACACGTCTCAATGCTATCATACCCTTTGTTCTAACCACTAATTGCTTTCATGATAATATAGTCTAGTTTTATTTTAGCTTCAAAGTTTTTATGGGTTGCTGCATTGTGGCTGAGCTCTGGTTTAGTTAATTTTGACGATGAAATGTCAGAAATTTGGAATCTACAATGTTATTTGGTTTATATTTGGTTTTGTCAGCTATGTTTAGGAATGTATACTATTTTTTGTGGTGTATGTGATGAAGTCAGGAATTGTTTGCTTCCATAATATGAGAATAGTATGATGAAGTTTATGTTATTAGTTCCAATTCTCATGCTTAAGGTTTCAGGATAAGAACTTGTACATTCTTTGCGCTTATATCTATATTTCTGAAATGTTATTTGGCTGATGGTATTGTCCACTAAATGACAGAGGCAGTCTCAAAATTAGATCTTGACCAATTCTTGTAACACTCTCTGAAGAACACACACTATCTGTGAGGGAATGTCAGCACCATTGTTGATGGAGTCCCTAGTTCTTAATCTCCACGAGATCTCAGCTGTCAAATTCGGCAACTTCAAGCTAAAATCTGGCATTTCCTCACCAATATATCTAGACCTCCGGCTCATTATATCATACCCTTCCCCTTCTCCGCCAAGTCTCCCAAACACTGATATCCTCTGTCTCTTCCTCTTCCTTTGACCTTGTATGTGGTGTCCCTTACACTGCTTTACCCATTGCCACCTGTGTCTCAGTCACACAGAATATTCCCATGGTCATGCGTCGCAAGGAAATCAAGGACTACGGCACTGCTAAAGCTATTGAGGGTGATTTCAAGGCTGGACAAAGTTGCTTAATCATTGAGGATTTAGTTACCAGTGGAACTTCAGTATTGGAAACTGCTGCACCCCTACGTGCTGCAGGGTTGAAGGTTAGCGATGCTGTTGTTTTGATTGATAGAGAACAAGGTGGGAGAGAGAATTTGGAGGAGAATGGGATCAGGCTGCATTCAATTGTTAAGTTGATTGAAATGGTGAACATTTTGAGGGAAAAGGGAAAGCTCGAGAGGGATATGGTGGAGATTGTTATGAAATTCTTGGAAGAGAATCAGAGGGTTGCTGCATTGGCAAAGTTAGGGAAGCCTAAGAGGGTCAAGGCTTTGTCATTTAGGGAAAGGGCAAAGTTGTCTAAGAATCCAAGTGGAAAGAGGTTGTTCGAGATAATGGCTGAGAAGGAGAGTAATCTTTGTTTGGCTGCAGATGTTGGAACTGCAGCTGAATTGCTTGAAATTGCAGAAAAGGTGAAAACTTGGTATTTGTTTTGGAAGATGTTTCCTGACTGATAGTAGTAGAGAGAAATCCTTTGAACAAACAAAGATTAGGTCTTCACTTTCAGCCTAACTTTTGTATTGATTTTTTTTTTTTCAATTTTCTTTTTAACTAATTCTAGAGGCTTCCATGTGGCTTGATTTCTTATATATGCTGAAAAGTTAGGGGTTTCTAAATGAAAAAAAGTTGGAACTTGAGCGTTGAAAGAGTCATGCCTCTCTATTCAAAAGCTAGTTTGTGGTTAAAATTAATGTCCTGCTAACTCTCTTTTAACTAATTTTTCTGTGGCATTCTCCTATTAGGTTGGGCCTGAGATTTGCTTGCTGAAAACTCATGTGGATATTTTTCCAGATTTTACTCCTGAGTTTGGTTCTAAGCTTCGCACGGTAAATTGATAATGCATTTGTATTGTTTGCATATTTTGCCAGACTATAGTGGGTTTGTTAGCATTCATTAAAGGAATTGTGTTTATTTCCTATTTTCTTTGATGAGAGTTCTATATATGATTAGGGTGCATCATGTCAGATAGATTTTGAGAAATCTGATGAGTTATTGTCTATGTCCAGCAATGCGTTATTTTATGTTCTGCTCATTACCTATGGTAAGTAAGAGTGTAAGTGAATATGAGCATCATGTGATAGGATTCAAGGAAGCACTCATATTTCTTCCCTATGTTTTCCTAACCTATTCTATATTCTAACAAAGATTGCAGAGAAACATAATTTCTTAGTCTTTGAGGATCGTAAATTTGCTGACATTGGTAACACGGTTACTTTGCAATATGAAGGGTGACACTTTGACCTTAGTCTGGACACCTTTTCATTTCACTTCCATTTGTTTTTTCTGTTTTGTGACATCGATATATTCTGATGTTTGAAGGGGGATTTATCACATATTGGAGTGGGCTGATATAGTAAATGCTCACATTATTTCTGGTCCTGGAATTGTTGATGGATTGAAATTGAAGGTCAGTAATACTTGTTATGAAATCATTTTCTCTACAGAAAGACCTCAAAAGATAGTCTAACATATGCTGAATTATACTCAGGGTTTGCCTCGGGGTCGGGGTTTGTTGTTGCTTGCTGAAATGAGTTCAGCCGGTAACCTTGCCACAGGAGATTATACAGCAGCAGCATTGAGAATTGCCGAGGATCATTCGGATTTTGTGATTGGCTTTATTTCAGTCAATCCAGCATCATGGCCAGGGCAACCGGTAAATCCTTCTTTCGTTCATGCAACTCCTGGAGTTCAAATGGTGATTGGTGGTGATGCATTAGGGCAGCAATATAGCACTCCATATTCTGTAAGTTTCTGCCTTTTGTTTCACATCTGCCTCTTAGTTTTACTCCCTCCAGTTTCTATTATAAGATGTTTTTTAGAAGGATTCTTTGATCCTTAATATAAGGCACTTGATGGGATGTTAATTATATTTTTTTAATATTATCCCTATTTAAACTCATTAACTATGGGAGAGAATGTATTGAAATTTGAAAATTTTTCATTTAAATAGGGTTAAAATTGGAATTTTATTCTATTATTAGACAATTTTAATAACTTAATTATCTCTCCTTGATTCTAGTGAGATGGTTAGATGTGTCTTATAATAGGGATTGGAGAATGTATATCTTCATACACGATTAAGCTACTCATGAATAGAAGTTGATCATCTTGAGTTAAGTCTGGAATTGGTGTGATACCTTACATTTTCAAGTGGTATACTTAGAGACAATTTTATAACAAATAGGAGTTACCCAAGCAATTTTTAAAACACAATTTCGCAAATAATCAATTTTTAAATCACAAACTCATGACACCCTTAATCCAATGGCCTTGGGCTCCAACAAATACATGATTATGATCATTTACACCATTGGGCTTACACACAAATATAACTTTACCCTGTTCAAAACACATAGGCCCATAACACAACCCAAAGCTATCGTACACATTGGGTGGATCTCAATCCACACCAACTCTTAAATGAACCCATGCAATTTATGTAACATTCCGAAACAACACAGACTAAAAATCATTCATAAATCATTCAAATACATATAATTGTAATAAAAAAAGTTTCAATAGTCATAATCATGCAAATAATGAGTCTAGACATGCTCAATATATTAAAAAGCTCTAAATTAGCAGTATACATCATTCAATCACATAAATACACTAAATAGGCATAGTAGACTCAACCCGCTATGCTCTAAACCTCAAATGCTTCTCCTTTATCCTTACCTTGAAAAATAATAACTATGGAGTGAGACTATAAAGTCTTAGGAACCCATGATCAATTCACAACAATGCACGCACATTAAGGTTCATAAGCTAGCAAAGTTGGAATTTAAAAACGTAGTTCTTCGTATAAAGCTTTCCAAATGCCACATGGTTTCCAAATGCAATTTGTCTTTCCAAACAATATGTTTCCAAATACCATATATTTTCCAGAAACGATACCATGCCTTCCAATGGCGTCTTGCAATCCATGTAGCCGACCCCACCTAGTGGGATAAAGGCTTGTTGTTGTTGTTGTTGTTGTTGATACCATGCCTTCCAAACGCAAGATGATTTCCAAAACACAATAATATACTTTCCAAACACAAATAATTTCTAAACACAATCTGCATCATCAATAACAGTCACCTTTAGTCAATGGCCTTGTGGCTTAATGGCATGCAAGCTGATTGTGTGTTTGATTTCGCTTGTAGCTTTTAGTGTTTGCCCTTCTAACTCAGCCAAAAAAAAAAAAAAGAACAGTCACCTTTGTAACGTACCCTTAAATACTCTTAACATACATTTTTTTTTAATAGTATAAGGAGTAGACTAGGCTGGCAGTAGAAGGAGAAGGAGAGAATGGTAGACCTCTCCTAACTAAATTGCTATATATACAAGGATTGAAATTTGAACCTTGAACCATTTGTTTAAGTAATGATAACTTTTATCATTTACGCTAACTTTAATTGGTGATAACATACATACATTATTTAACTTAATCCATAATAATAAAATAGCTTTGAGTCGTTATACATCTACCACTTGCACTTAGTTGTGGAATACCAGGTGGCACCATGTACAAATCCACATAAACTTCTCCCAACACAATTCATATACACGGTCATGATCATGCTGAACATAAAACTATTGTCAAAACAATTTAAAACACATGGGAACATATTTATATAACACTTTGCCATCAATTCCTATTCCAATTATTCCCACTTCACTAAACAAGTTCAACAATCCTATACATTAAGCTTTCATAATTTAAACAACACATTTTATTTTACAAAATATGCAAGCGCGCAAAGGAAATTGAATCATGGTTATCTCAAATCCTTAGCTTAGAATATTCAAACCATGTGAGCCCTCCAAACACCATAATCCACAATCAATCAACACATCACCATAAATATTTTGCATAAGTACAAGGCTCACAAAACAATTTCTCCTAATCCTAAGGGTTAAACCTCCCAAACACACTTCCATTGATATAATCTCATTACCCAAACACTTTTCTAGCATATCCAACCTTAACAAATCCTTCATTAAAAAAAAAAAAGTCTAACACTTCAAAATCCCCAAACTCACTAAATTTCCAACCTAATGTTTTATCCATAACAACACTCACACATGTAAATCATTGTTATAACCCTAGCCATTTCTCTACAACAATAACA